ATGCAAAATTGCGAACTCTTTCTGGCAATCTCTACAATAAACTAGCATTTCATTAATCCTCACAACAAAACTAAAAAAAATGAGAGATAAATTTCTTTATATTTTATATATTTTTTGTATAATTTATGTTTTCAATTTTAGGAATATTTGTCAGCTTACGTTTCATTGGTGAATGCCTGTTTCCAATTTTTCTTTTTTATATTTACGAAATTATATTTTCTGCAACTTCAAGTACAATCCCTGGAGGATTCTTCATGGCCAGTGCCGCCATTATATTGCTTGTATTTGTCTTCTACTGGTAATTACTATCAATAATAAAACTGCATATAGTTTCTAAGCTATAAATTAATCAAACAAATAATGTATTATATTTTTTATCATAAAAAAAAATTGAATATTTAATAGTTGACCGTTGCATTATAAAGGAAGGAGATAGTCCGAGGTCGCGGTTATAAATAGGCTAAATAGTGGTAAAACTATCTTATTGAAGGCCGACGTTTCGACCCGACTTTGCAGGTCTTCATCAGGGAGGTGTGTTCATATAGGAGTTTCACTTAGAATTACCGGTTAGAGTTAGAGTTTCAGTTCTAAGTGAAACTCCTAGATGAACACACATCCCTGATGAAGACCTGCAAAGTCGGATCGAAACGTCGGCTTTCAATAAAATAGTTTTACCGCTATTTAGCCTATTTATGACCGCAACCCCGGACCATCTCCTTCCTTTAAAAAATAATTGTTGTTAACGTGATGTATTATATGTGAATCAATAATATCATCTAATTAGTTCTAATGATTTTACTTTTGTATATATTTCGTCTGATTTATCGATCTTATGTATTTTTAAGGATATGCTCTTGTATCTACATTGAAGCAGTGGAACCTTTGGATAAAGATTCGTCTATAAACAACGATGTTGAAAAACGTGAAGCTGTTAAAACACCAGGCAACGACACAATAATCGAAAAATACTAAGGAGTTACAAGATGATTGGTAATTTATTCATAAAAACAACAAAATAGATATATAATTTAGTTAGTTACTGAAGCTAGGACGAAACTAGATACAAAAATATATTAAAATGTTAAAGTTACATGATAAAATGTTACTTTCACATTTCAATGAATTTTCATTCGGCATAATCCCCCCGTCCTCTCCCCTTACCCGTGAAAATCTTAGAGTTGCCTAAAAGTCAAGAAAGGGGAGGAAAGAAAGTATAACGTGTGTACGCAGCACCGCGCGTTGCCTGCCAATCTGGTTAGCAGATAATATGATAAAGTAATTCCGAGTTCACGTCCCAGTTCCAAGAGGGCTTTTAACTCTGGCATTTCAGGAACTCAAACTCAGGAAACTACAGTGATGGAAAAAAGTATTTGCGCAACACGTTTTTTATGAGTAAAAGTAGTTCAAGGAAACAAAAAACTTCGCTTTCCTTTGTAAAAACGAAAAGTAAATTTATTAAAAACTGAAAAAAAACCTGTTTACAAAAATATAAAAAAACTTCATAATCAAACAAAATAATTAAAACAATAAAAGTGCTTGGAAAAAAGTATTTGCAGATTTCCACATTTACAATTTTATTTTAAATTTTAATAGTTTTAATATTTTGTAAATAGGCCATTTGAGTCAATAATTGCTTGTAGACGTCTGGGTATTGAATGCACTAGATTTTTATTTAAATCTACGTTGATTCGTTCCCATTCTTGAACAAGAAGTTGTTTAAGGTGATGTCCACTAGTGATATGGTGTTTTCTTACATTTTGGTCAAGGGTGTGCCATAAATTTTAAATGATTTTAAAATTTTAAATAATTTTAAATTTTTACATAATCATTTAAATTGGGTGTTAGGTCACTTAATAATTATTCAATAAACTACAACATGTTCATTGATCCTGCTGTTTATTTGACGTTCTATTGCGTTTTTTTTTTAGTTAACAATGGGATCCTCTTCAATGCTAGATCAACAAATAGCTCAATCGTTACACAACTAGGCCTACATATGTTTCAAATAACACATATTTCAGATTTCAATCTACTTTTAAAATAGAGTCTCGATACCTCAGGCCAGAGACAAATTTGTATGTAAAATTTTGCCTTCGAATTCAGAACCGGAGGGGAGGGGGACAGACGCTTAGCGGTCCAGTAGATTAATAGCTGTGTCTGTGTCGGTATTCCTATTAATATAGGGGGCGTCTGCCCCTCCCCCTCCGGTTCTGAATTTGAAGGCAAAATATTACATACAAATTTGTCCCTGGCCTGAGGTATCGAGACTCTATTTTAAATGTAGGTTGAATTCTAAAATATGTGTTATTTGAAACATATGAAGGCCTAGTTTTGTAGCTCTAGCATTGAAGAGGATCCCATTGTTAACTAAAAAAAAAATATGTATATATATATATATATATATATATATATATATATATATATATATATATATATATATATATATATCGGTAACAAACTGACTGTAATCTCCCTTGAGAAAAATTGTTTTAGTACAAGTGTAATTAAATTATATCATCTTTATGTTTTGATGATTTAAACTAATAATGTATTTTTTTTCAGTTATAAATAAAACTTTGGGTATATAAGACGAACCAACGCTTATGCTTTAAGAAAAAACAACATTAAAAAAAGTTTTGTAAATATATTTATAAATTATTTTTAAAGATTTTACTTATTTCCTTCATCCCAGTTATAAAAAAATAAAATAAAAAACTTTAATATTAATTAGGAACTAAGAAAAATAAAATACCTCTGAAATCAATATTAACATTCAACAATGAAGTTCACATTAAGACATTATTGTTTATGTAATAAAAATGTACATTTTTTTTATCTATGGATTAATTAAACGATTAATGTATTATAGTTTCATTAAATATTAAAGTCTGATTAATTAATCCTTTATGTTTTTTAAGGATATGTTCCTGTATCTACATAGAATCTATGGTTAAGAGTCGTGTTATTATTTTATTTATTTATAAAAAAAATGTTATTATAAAGAGTTATGTTTTTTTTTTACAATTAAAAATACAGTTTTTGTCTTATATCATAAACAAATGCTTATATTTTAAGAAAATTCAACATGAAATAACATATTTCCTTCATCCAAAAAATAATTTAAAATTACTTTAGAATTATAAGTAATTAAACTACCTCTGAAACCATTGCTGGTATCATTCGAAAACGAAACAGAGCTACCAAAAGAGTTAACATCATTCTAAAAATACAGTCTTTTAAGTAAAATACATTCAGGAACATAAACTTAAGATTCATGGTACGTCACAAACATTAGTTTACATAAAGACTTTCGCTTTCCAACAGTCAATAGTCCGTGTTACAAACCCCTTTTTTATCCAATTATTTTTATCATCTCATCGTAATCTCCAAATATTTTATTTTTTAAAAATCTCAGAATAGGAGTGTTTTTAAATCGGAATTCGGCTAATTTTGTCTATTTAAATAAGCACTCCAAATTCATGAATACCAATTTTCTTTCCACTTTAATCGCAAGATAATATGACCAAAACATCGAAAAAAATCTGGCCTACAAAAATACTGGGACGTTTGAACTATAGTATAACCTCGATATTTTAACTTTTTCTGGATGAAAGTCACGCCATACGGATCAATATTTTTATAGACCAACTATTTTTCTACTTTGTAATCATATTATCTTACGATCCAAGTGAAAAGCATATGAGAATTTACAAGTTTACTACCTAATTCAATATACAAAGTTTGCCTATCCCTAGATTGAAGTCGCCCCAATTCCGAAATTTTTTGTAAATATAATATTTGAAAGTTACGATAAGATGAAGAAATCTACGAAGTCTCAGGCGGTTATTAAGAATTTAATATGAAGTGGTCTGTATCACGGATTATGACGACCAAATACGAACGCACTAGAACAAATTTCACGATAACTTACATGGACGTACTAATATATTCATATAAGATATGGCTACAATTTTGGAAAACACGCTTCGAAGGTTCAAAATAAGCTGGAAAAGAGATCTCCTCGCTTGAAAAGTTTATGAACATCAAGATATAAAGGGATACCGTTGGACACTCCTCTCCCATAAACCGATCGATGCTGCTACTATTATTTCCAACAGCAGATGAACTGATTGACAGTATTTCTGATAGGGGTAGGTTAAGAAATGAAGTTAAAAGACAAACAAAGAAACATGCAATGTTACTTACAATTTCAACATATTTCATTTCTTAAAAATATATATTTTATGTTGAAATATATTGCATTTTTTTTTCTTCGTACTACTTTGTACCCCTCCTTTTTTTCTCTTCCAATTTCAGTGAATTTTAAAATTGTCAATGTTTTCTTGCATGCGTCTCTATCTAGACATCCGGCACCAGAAATTATAAGATTCTTATTTATTTATTTATTCCACCCTCCCATGCCACTATGGCAATACGGGTGTTTGCGATAGTGTGTTTTAGGCATGAATACTTAATAACACACTTCTATTAGTTAACATGATGTGAACACACTACTTCTTTTCTATCTTCTTCCTTCTTGTTTCGGCCTAGCTTCCAGAATCTGGAGGTCTTCCTGGCGCTTGTCCTCTTCTTCTGCGGGCACCAATGTGGAAGTGAGCGGGCCCCACCACCGTCTTCCATCCATATATGAAATTCTTAAATCACGGGAAATTTTCCTCGCTGACTAACTGAGGAAACTCATTTCCAGTGAGGACATAGATTCCTGCGGCTCTTGTCATTGTCGCTCCTAACGTTTCAAATGCGGTGCAGGTCGTGACCACGTGTTCTACAGTTTCCGGAACACTACAGATTGGGCATAGAGGATCAATGCCCAGACAGTGAAGTTTAGCTCGAAATCCTCCATGCCTAGTGAGGAAATGGGAAATCCAGGAGTCCGGGAGTACCCACTTTGCTTGAAGCCTCGACTGTACTGTGGGAAAGTACTTCCTCAATGTACTTCCTTTAGGGATTGCTACCCACCGCCGGTTCCATGCTTCAATTGTATCCTCCCGGAGTATCTTCTTCCATCTATTAAAACATGATTGACTTAAAAATTACAAAATTTAATTTCTTGGTTTTCTGTCTGGCCTCAGATGATGGTTTATTGTAATTTTTTATAGATATTAAAGTCTGCTATCACATTACACCAGTTAAATAAAATCAATGTTGTTAAAAGAACGATTTTTTTGTAATTTTGCGGATTATATCTCTTCGGATCTTTCCTTCCACGAAGCCCATATTCATGCCTTGGATTGGACTTTCGTGTTTCAAGGCGAGAGTCCATGATTCGGAAGAGTATCCAAAGATAAGGAGAGGTGTCGATTAATAGAAGAAACAATTAGTATTTTTGGTCATATATCTTTTTCCCAGAACATATCCTCCAAGTTAGCTAAATACTCTTCCTGGTGTGACAATTCTCCGAGTCCTTTCCTCATCGATGTAACTACTGTTGTTGAGATTGGAAACTAAATATTGGATTTTATCCATCTTCTTCAATCTATCCATTTTCTCTCAGCACTATCAGTATTTTCCGCATGCATTTGTTTTTTCTTGGGTATTGTTGTATTGTGTTATATGGTTATTCTCATGATTTTTTTCATCTAATGGGATGTGTATATTAATAATAATAGTTATTGTTCAGATTGTATCAGTATGAACAATAACCATATGTTTTAAGTGTATTTTTTTTTTTTTTTTTTTTTTTTTTTTTTTTTTTTGAATAATAATACAATCAGCCACTGTTGGAGGGCTATAAGTATTAAGGCTAAAAGTTCTCATTCATACAGTATATACAAGTAATACAGAAGTAACTATAAATATAAAAGTAAATAAATAATACTTATAAAAAAAAATGTAAATCAATAGAAAAAAAAAATAAAATAAAATAAAAAAAATAAATAAACAAAATAAAATAAAAAAAACTTCTAAACACATTCATACCTATATACATTCGCCCAGGAATCTCCGAGCCAGCCTTTTCTCCCCACATGTGGAAAGCAAAGCAGGACTCCAGAGATCCCAGTGCCACTTTTCCAGCCGCATCACTAGTATTAAAAGCCAGTGGAGGCTGAAGGAGGGCACTAGAGCCACAGATGCTCAGGACTTGAGTGGAGAAGCTGGCCATTGCCAGGACTCCAGAAGCATATTTACAATAGATCTCGCGGCCACTGCCGTTTTAACCTTCGAGGGGGATTGTAGGGATGGTGGGAGCTGGATAGGGATTGAGCTAGAGGATTTGGATGATGGATAAGGTTCTGGTGAAAGTTTGAGAATCTGGATGGGATGATGTCGAGGACAAAAGGGATGTTAAGGTCATGGTGTAGGGTCTTATTTGTGACATAATATGGGGCATTGGCTATTGTTCTAAGTACTTTGGACTGGAAGGATTGGATGCGTTTGATATTCGAATGTTTAGCAGTTCCCCACAGTTCAAGTCCGTAGGTCCAGATAGGTTTCAGTATTGTCTTGTAGATTAAAAGTTTATTTTCAATCGAAAGATGAGATGTCCTGCTTAGTAGTCTATATAGCTGGCCATATCGTTGGTTAAGTTCTTGTCTTTTAAGTCTCGTATGTGGGTTCCAAGTTAGTCTTTTGTCTAGAAGGAAGCCAAGGTAACGGACTGTATCTGAGTAGGGAAGTGGTATTGAATTGAAAAGGATTGTGGGACAGGATCTGCGTCGCAGAGTGAAAGTAATATGTTTACATTTTGCTTCATTGATTTTAATGCGCCAGTCGTTGCACCACTGCTCAATCAAGGAGAGGTGAGATTGTAGGTTTTGAGATGCTATTTGAGGATCTGAGTGGGAGGATAGAATGGCAGTATCATCGGCAAATGTAGCTAGGAAGGTATCGGGATTTGGAGGGATATCGGCAGTGAAAAGGATGTAGAGAACTGGACCCAAAACACTGCCTTGTGGAACACCAGCCTCAACTGGATAGTAAGTGGAGAATTCGGTGCCGCAACGGACTTGGAAGGAACGATTTGAGAGATAGGATTTGAGGACTAGGTATAAGGATTGGGGTAAATGGGTTTTGAGCTTGAAAAGCAAGCCATCGTGCCACACCCGGTCGAAAGCTTGCGCTACGTCCAGAAAGGCACCAGTGCAATATTGCTTGTTTTCAAGTGCAGAGGATATATGGTCCACAACACGAAGGCCTTGTTGGACAGTGGAATGTCTTGAGCGGAATCCAAATTGATGAGAAGGGATGTTGTGGGATTCGAGTATGGGTAGGATGCGTTTGAGGAGGATTTTTTCAAAGATTTTTGAGAGGATAGGGAGTAAACTTATCGGTCTGTAGGATGATGTGTTATTAACGGGTTTGCCTGGTTTTGGAAACAGCACGATTATGGAGTGTTTCCACATCAAGGGAAAGTTGGTAGTACGAAGGATGCAATTATATAGATAGGTCAGGAATATAATTGATTTTTTGGGAAGTTGTCTAAGGATTTGTGAAGTGAGGAGATCATATCCAGGGGATTTTCGGGGTTTTAATTTGTTTATGAGGAATTTGACCTCAGAGGGGTTAACAGGTTTTGGAGGTAGAGAGAGAGGAATTGGTGAAGAGAGGAATTCTTTAATTAAGTGTATTAGAATTAATTTAAAGCATATGTTTTAATTGCAGTAGTATTCAATGTACTGTTATGGTTAAGTTCAAAATAAAAGTGTTTTATATTCTATATTCTTTCTGTTTTTAATTATAACCATGTATTCCTAGTATTTCCAATCCACTCAAGTCAAAAAATAATAATATGCTTTATCTATCCTGGGACTATTTAGAATAATACAGTAATTG